CCCCCCCCCACGTCACTGGGCATGGTGGATGTGCTGTGTTACGCAGGCAGTCTGAGAGAGTTTTCAAAGTGCCAGATTCTGCCTTTTCTGGATTTCTGGTTATACTCACACTAACTAAAACAATATCGCCTCCCAGCACATCTTTATAAACCTTTCTTTATAGCGCTTAAGGTTGCACTTGAACTTTGCTCTTGGGACAAATCCTTTTAAATCACACGGTAGACAAAATGGCTTGTAAAAATGTTGCAGAGCACTAAATAAAATGTGATTGATTCATTTGATTGATTGATTGATTGATTGACCATGCTTCCTTTCAGATTGATTACTACTACATCTCTAACCAGGGGTTCCCCATTGAAGTATGGGCAGTGGTGTATTACATCACACACCTGTAAGTCATGTTTTGAACTGTGTCACACGGCACCAGAGGTCAGTGTGCTGTCCTAAGTGGGCTTCCACCTCTGCGTACAGCAGAGGGCCGTTACTGTCTGGATGCCTCTCTGAATGGTTCAGCTGTAAATTAATCACTAACTGAGAAGAGACTCAGAAAGCCTCTAAGTCACAAACCCACTGCTTCCCTGTAATCATTTCAAATCTGTCTGGTTTTAAAACTAGACAATGAGTTCAGTGTTAAAGCTGTAAAAGACAGTTTGTGTCTTTCCCTTCTTAGACTGAAGGGGGCGCTCTTGTTCATCACCATCGCATTGATTGGAACCGGCTGGGCCTTCGTCAAACACATCCTGTCAGATAAAGACAAGAAGATCTTCATGATCGTCATCCCTCTGCAGGTGTTCGGGAGCCCCACAGCCTTTTGCTGCAATGCAAATATTTTTCCAGTCATTCTGGCACTGAAACTCCACCCTCTTACAAGAGGTAAACACTGAAATCTGAGTCCTTACTCATGTGTCCTCTCTTCCCCCCCCTCCCCCCATGCTCCAGGTCCTGGCTAACGTGGCATACATCATCATTGAGTCGACGGAGGAGGGCACCACTGAGTACGGCCTCTGGAAGGAGATCCTCTTCCTGGTAGACCTCCTGTGCTGTGGTGCAATTCTGTTTCCTGTCGTCTGGTATGGCTTCACTCACTCACTCCGTCTCAGATCCTGTGTGTTTTTATTAAAAATAATTTACAGACGTTTCTTTAGCTGAAGCTTTTTTTAAGTAAATAAAACTGAAGAAGTCTGTGTATTTAATGCGTGGAAAAATGAGATTTCTTATTGAATAAAAAAAAAAATCAGTTTGGTGGGAATTTTTTATCTGATTTTGTTTTTAAGTATTTGTTTAAAAGTATTTAAATCAGGGGTCTCCAACTCCGGTCCTGGAGAGCTACTATCCAGTAGGTTTTCTGTTCCACTTGGCTTCTGATGAACTACACCTGCTCCTGGTATTTACCTGAGAACAGGTGTGGCTCATCAGAAGACAGGTATGATAGAAAACCAACTGGACGGTAGCTCTCCAGGACCGGAGTTGGAGACCCCTGATTTAAACATATGCTTTCATTATAATATCCCCACTAGTGTTAGAATTGTTTCATTAAGATCTCAATGCATTTTGTAATCTAATGTGTTAATATGACAGCCCAGTTGTGTACAGTGCTGATCTTTGACCTCTCCTCATTGTGACATTCACAGGTCTATCAGACACTTACAGGAAGCCTCTGCCACAGATGGAAAAGGTATGTTGTTATCATTAAAGAGCACAAAGCTGCACTTGGCGTTCCGCAGTCTATAACCCTGGATTTGATGGGATTGTTTCAGGAGGGTCTGGCTGTAGGTACAGGCAGGTGCCAAAGCCCCAGAATGACCATCAATTTCTCTACCTAGGCAGGCCTTTGCCTAGAGCCCCTGAAAAGCTAGAGCCGGCTCTTGTGGGATGCCAGTTCATCGTAGTACACAGACTAGGGAGAACTTTGGAGAACCAATCGGCAAACTGTGTGTGTTTGGACTGTAGGAGGAAATGCATGTTACACAGGGAGACCAGGCAAACACAGCACAAGAGGCAAGGTTTAGCTAACAGTCTAGAAGTGTATACAGCAGTGTTCCCCAACCCGGTCCTTGGGGACCCACAGACGGTCCACATTTTTGCTCCCTCCCAGCTCCCTGCCAGACAGACCACGTTTGGATCAAGGATCGGATTGGGGAACACTGGTATATAGGAACATTGCAGATCCAGAATGATTAATAATGTTCTTGGAGAAACCTCCCCGCCCACTGCCAGACCAGAGATAAAAATATCGCTTTTGTGTGAGAGGTGCCCCCAGTTTTGGGGGGGGGGGGAACGGGCACATCCTGCTTGCACTGGCAGTGCCAGGTAAACTGGCCTGACAGCAGAATTTGAATTTAAATTGCTGCATGAAGATGGAGGTAATATCCCAGATGTCATGGGAAATACTCAAAAGATTGCTCAGTGATGGAGGTGCTACAGGGTCATAGGTCAAGGCTGCATTATTACATAATTAGTGTCTCCAGGTGCTTTGAACACATTGCCAGGATTATAAGGATCGGCAGATTAAAGTTAGAGAAGTGCAGCAGGTGGTGTCGGTTTCAGGCCGGGGGGGGGGCGCCCTGCTCTTGTCCCTTCTTTGTTCATCTTCCTTTTGTCCTCCTCTTCCTCTTAGTGACACCTCATGCCTGTCTGTTCAGCCTGATTCAGGCGTTCCCTACGCTCACTTTTTCTGGCATTAGCCATTACAGCTTCCTGGGTCCTGTTTGCTTGCAGTTTAGTAAGAGCTGTAAATCCCCGCAACCACTAGCATCCTACCCCTTTCTGCAGTCTGCCCGTGCTGCAGTGCCCCCCGGTGGCTTGGAGGGTATTCTCGGGGGCATTTTAGGACATGTCATTGCAGAAATTCCCTTTCCCTGAGTGGTGTGTTTTCATTATTTTCCTTTCTGTCCAAAACAGCCAGGTTATTACCCTCATTCTAGCTATTTGGGTGCTGAAAACACCTTCCTGCAGGAAATGGGCAGAATCACACAGCACTGATCATGAGGCCCGTGTTCTGGCTTCTGTATTTAGTGATTGAATTTATATTTTAATGAATGAATCATCAGTGGTATGGTCGACAATGCTACAGCTTCACCCGTCTGGGGTCAGGTGATCAGATCATGTTTCTCTGCCTTTCGTTTGGATACTCCGGTGTTGTCTTGCAGTCCAAAAAAGAAGGTGAATTGGTATCTCAGTTACCCTTTGTGTGTAGGTATGTGGCCTGTGCTGGCCTGTGCTGGTCTGTGCTGGACTGGCACTCCAAGTGTCCTCTGGCTTGTGCCCTGAGCTTCCTGAGAGGCTGTAGGAGACGGAGCCTGTGCTGGATTATTGGTTGGAATACATGCAATCCCCGGTTGTCTGACTTACAGACAACTCGCCCTTAGGAACGAGCCACCATAAAGTCTATTGTATTTAACACAAATTTTTCATACAATGGTTCGTATTACGAAGCCGCGCACTTCGTTATAATGAACGCACGCACTGCTTTGCGACTCGTGTGAAAACATTGCGTGGCTTCAGCGACGTATCAGCTCGAAGCACAGTAAAATACCGTATGTGGTCACTCTTACTATTACTGCATAATGATTATTATGTACTGTATTGTTATTTTTCTGAATAATATTAAAATTTCACTTAAAAACAGACTGAGGGAGCGGATTTTGTTTGTAACCTGGACACTGCCTGTATTTATGGATGTATGAGTCAGTTGGGCCAGTGCTATAGTGTACATTTACTTTCCTTAAAATAACAGATCCTGAAACTCATTTAATCAATTCACTTCTGTTTAATATGGCTTAATTAAATTAAGCGGCTGTCATTCTGTCTGCTGAGTCATGCTGTTTTCGCTCCCTCGTGTCCGTCCAATGATCTCGTGGTGTTTTCCCCCTCGGGCGGCTGCATGCCCTGACGTTTTCGCTTCCCTGTTCCATTTCGCGTCCTGCCTCATGAAAGCCGCCGGCCCGTCCCTCTCCAAAGCATGAAAGCCCGTCGTTATCATCCAAACACGGGGCACTTAGGAGCCTGCAAATGTGGCTTCCTGGTGCAGTTGTTAATCTGCTGTTTGTACTTCGTACGTAATGGTTCATTGGTCCGAAGTGCTCGTTGGTGATTAGCACTTTTATAGGTTAAGATGGGGGCCCAGTGCACTGTGACACCATGTGGTGTGTTACCATGGTCACATGCACCGAGTTACACCAAGGTTGTTATTGTTACTAAAAACTGAAAGAAAATATTATTGTAAACTGAAATAAATTGAGATATGAAGAACTTAAAACGAGAACTATAAATACTACTTCCGAAATTCAAACAAGAAAGTCAAATGTTACATTACTCATTAGAGGAACTGCAATCCATTTAAATGACCATTTAATAATTCCTGGTCCTTTTGATGATATTGGTACATAATGTGAACTGTATTCATGTAGGTTTCACTAAAGATCAGACACACAGCTCTGCAACTAAAATTCAGATTCAGATCCAAATCCTTTATTGTCATTGTACAGGGTACAATGAAATTTTAGCAGCAGTCCAGTCGGTGCCTTCGATAAACAAGTAATGTGATATATATGATTATATAACAACTATATAGAAGTGTGTCGTTTTAAAATAAAAACTAATAAGGTCACTCTGAAAGCTAACCAAAACTAAACAGAATTTCCATCAGAACTGAAAATGAATCAAGCCATTAACAAGGCTGGGTCACGCCAGCATCTTTTTGCATTCATACACAATGGCAATGTTTGCCCCCTATGGGTGGAAATGGGTATGACAAGCCTCTGACTAAATCGTCATCATTGCTTTATTTTTCTTTACCAGCAGCTGTCAATCTG